ACGGCGTTTTCGTCCCGAAGTGTGAACCATCTCGAGCTGCTGAAAATTTCTCCCCAAAAGTCTTAAGAAAACACAAATTACCACATAATTAAGGAAAATTTTAAAAAAAATTCTTAAAAACATATCATAACAATTCCAAGATTTTCAACTTTTTTTAAAAATTCCTCTGCAATTCCTTAAAAAAAGAAAGAAAATCTAACATTTCCAACATTTCATCTTTCTTTTTTTTTTTAAATTCTTCGCCAATTCCTCAAAAACAAAAAAAAAAAATTTATACCTCTGAATTGGTAGGATTATTGTCAATTGTCGAAATTTTTCCCTGTAAATCAACTACAACTGTGGCACATATCATGTTCTCATCGTCTTTTTTATGTTCTTGCGTCGTTTCCGCTATACTTTCATCCCTGCAAAACATTTGGATGAAGTAGAATACCGCAGAATTTCAACAGTGGAACAAACATGCTGTGTATATTCCTTTTATTCAGCCAATTCACATTTTCATTCTCTTAATAAAACCACATTTCCTTGAACAAAGACAAAATAATTAGCCAACGCACGGGCTGCCCGAGCGAAGATGCGTTTTTTGCATAGCTCCCCGCAAATTTTTGTCGCTAACAGCTCTGGTTTTTCCGGCAGATGCTTCTAGCTAAAAGAATTTCAAACTGGTTGCCAGGACTGTCAGGAAACATCCCTTCAAAATTGCAGTCTTCTAGCTTCGAACGTTCCGAGGTAGCAACTTACCCGAAAGAGACCTTCACATGCCCATACGTAGGTACCACGCTTATCCGCGGGCAACGTTTGAGCTCGTTAATACCGGCTTGGGTGAGGAACATCGCCCTAAGATTTCAGCTTTCTAGCTTCTCAGGTCCCGAATTGTGAATTTACCTGTAAAAAACTTTGGCGGGCCCATACGCGGGTACCACGCGGGTAATGGCGCCCATTTTGGAGAATTAGGCCTGTACGTGCATGTAGATCAAGTTCCCAAAGTTTCAGCTCTGCAGCTTTTATAGGTCTTGGGGTGAAAAATCGGGACAGACGCACACACAGTCACACAGACACACGGACACACAGACAACCCCTCGTCAATATGCGTTTTCGCACTGCATAGCTGCAAAAAACGCATAAAAAAAGTTCCAAAAAAGTAACATTTCCAATGCTCCCAATTTCGAGAACTATTTACGAGGCGCGTTGAAAACAACCCAGAAGTGCAACCAGTAAATCCCACAAGCCAGCAGAAAAACTATAACGTAGTGATAGACTATAAATTATGAATAAGGCAAGGGCTTCACAGATTGATGCCACTGTTTTGCCGTTGTTCCTGACGTTGAATTGTCTGGACCGAAAACGAAGAGGTGGACGGGGACTTTAATTAACGAGGTGTAGAGATGAAGATTGTATGCTCGACGG